CACTAGACCAGGAGGCTCAAAGTCCCAGCCAACCTGGCCTTGAACACTTCCAGTGATAAGGCATCCAAAGCTTCTCTGGGCAACCTGTTCCAGTGCCTCTCTACCCCTATAGAGAAGAATTTCCTTCTTATATCTAATTTATATCTACTTTCAGTTTAAAGCCATTACCCCTTGTTCTGTCACTACATGCCCTAGCAAAAATGTCCCTCTCCAGCTCTCTTGAAGGCCCTTTTAGGTACTGGACAGCTGCTCTAAGGTCTCCCTGGAGCCTTCTCCAGGCTGAACAACCCCAACCCTCAGCCTGTCTTTATAGGAGAGGTGCTCCATCCCTCTGACCTTCATGGCCTTCCTTGCAACAACAGGTTCATGTCCTTCTTACACTGGGGACCCCAGAGATGGATGCAGCACTCCTGGGGGAATCTCACGGTAGCAGAGTAGAGGGGCAGAATCACCTCCCTGGACCTGCCACGCTGCTTTTGATGCAGCCCAGGACACGGCTTTCTGGGCTGCAAGTGCACACTGTTGTGCCATGCCAAAGTTCTCATCCACCAACACCCCCAAGCGTTCCCTCTCTTGGCTGCTCACGTCCTACAAATGCAAGAGATACCATACACTTGTGCCACTTCCATCACTCACAGTCCTCTGCACGCAGGTCACATGCTCTTCTGTCTGAGCTCAGTAGAACTTAAAGAATGAAGAAGGGAATTAGATAAACGTTTTTTCTTCTTTTTGTATTTTTACTTTAACTGTCTTCAGACATAACCCTTTGCTGCTATTTGTTGGTGTTCACTATTTTATTGCATGTCATTCCCAGGGACCCACACACTGCCTGGTTAAATGAGACATCCTGAAAAAAAGAAGTCCCAGTGAGGGTATAGTATGTGCTGGCAAGACAGGTACAGTGGGAGGGAAATGCCTATAAAAGTCACTAAAAAAATGAAAAAAAGACAGTGACAAGTATGCTCATAGTTGGGCAGCTGCTCTGAACTTCAAAATATTTCATCTGTGGGATCTCTGATCCAGAAACCTTTGTACATCTCTGGAGTATATAGGATATCACCTTCTTTGGTAGGACATCATCCTATTGATTACAAGAACTGAGAGCTGGAGATATGTAGCAATTTCTGTGGGGTCCTTTTTAGTTTCTGAGGAAAACTGAAGAACTTTCCTCTGGCAACTTTCAGTTACAGAGTGAGCAGAATAAGTCCAGTGAAGCAAGCCCACAAATGATGCAAAATCAACTAATCTGCAAGAGGATGCTATATTTCAGATATTTGCTGATATATATTCAGCAAATATATATCAGGGGCCAGTCTTCTTCAAGTGGTCAAGCTCTTGCTGTCTTCAAAGAAAAATCTTCTGAGGTTAATCTAACTTCTAATTAAAAATTGCTTCTGTGGAAAACTCTTCATTCCAGTAACAAGATGAACAAGAGGGGGAGATGATGCAGTTCTGACTCTAAAGAAACCTTTTCCTCTTGTGTGTGCATGACTGCCCTACAGATTTTCCTTTGGAAAGGGTGGGCTTGAATGTTGTTCTGCTTTGATTTTTAAAGATAGAGATGTAACCAACCTTTGTTAATCTACTTGCAACTGGAATATGAGAGAGCAGCCCATCACAGCACCACCAGTAGAAACTGAGCTCACCTGAGCAGGGGGTATTGCACATGTGCTTGGCCCTCAGGGTCCTGCCACCATTGTGCCACCAGCAGCTGTTGGTCTGTAAGAGCCATGATTCTGATTCAGAAAATAAGATGATTGTATAGAGAATGCACATGATAGGGAGTGGTCCTTTTATTCTTTAATTGAACCAAATATGAAAAACACATGCAGTATGTCTTAACTTTAAAAAGTCTGACACAGTATTTCTACTGTTAGAAATAAATTCTGGTATGCTTCTGTGCATTGTTCTCTATATACAGAAGCACAAATCAAGCCCAACATATATTTCCACAAAAATGACAGAGGAAAATACTATATGGCCCAATTTGTGCCATGGTTCTAACCATATTCAATCAATGGTGACCTTCTGAACAGAAATGAAGTGCAAGTGAGCTTTCATAAATAAAACTTGGGAAACGAGCACAGTGTTAGGGCCCTCTCACCACTGTTACTGCCCTAAGAGTGAAAATGCAGATGCTGGGAATGGCCCAAAAAAAAATACTCTGCTAAATATGACCTTGTCTCTTTTCTGGGTTATACCCATATGAGTGCAGGTGACACAGCTGCACACGTATCTCTTGGGACGGGGACCAGCGGGTGGGCAGTGGCAGGCAGGGTGTGCTCTGCAGCAGCAGCTCCTGTCCTGTTTTGATGCTGTCAATAGCTGTAGCGGGCAGAACTGCTCTCACAGGTGGCCTGAGGGTGCTTCTGGCCACTGCAGATACAGCCAAACAGTCCTGCCCACCTTACCTCTGCTGGCAGGCATGCTCACATGGAGCTTTTCACTGCTCACTGAGGCAGGAGCAGAGGTTTTGGCATGTGGCCATATTCATCCTAACCTCTAAACTCTGGCATTCACTGGACCTGCTCACTTTAACAAAGCTTGTTAAATGGAAATGCCCACCCCATGTCCCCTCTGGACTCACAGAGCCCCAGGCTGTGTCCCCAAAAGGTATTTGGTCCAGAATGCTTCTTTCTGTTAAAAGAATATGTAATAAAATAGTTTGGGTTGGGAGGAACCTTAAGGACCATCTAGTTCCAACCCTCTGGTGATGGACAGGGACACACACTTTCCACTAGACCAGGTTGCTCAGAGTTCCATCCAATCTGATTCCAAACATTTCCAGGGATGAGACATCCAGAAATTCTCAGTGCAACCTGTTCCAGTGTCTCACCGCCCTTACAGTGTAAAATTTCTTCTTAATATCTAGTGTATTATCTCCTTTTATAGGAAAAATTAATGGAAAAGCACATATGCAAGAACAGGGCAAGTGGGTGTAAACACCATGTGTCCTAAAGAAGGCCAGAGACTCCTTAAACAAATTTGCCTAAATAGAGGCAGAAGAATTATTAACTAGCTGTTGTGAATGCCTTAAGGGGTTAAGTACAGTGGGAAGGGAAATAACTAGATAGAGAGCAATATCAGCACAAAAATCAAATTAATATAATTTAGTCAAGAAATTCAGGTAGTGGCTTTGATTTGTAACCCCTTAACCCCTGGAGCATGGGAGGAGTGGGACAGATTTCCTGTAGGAAGTGTGGGAGCACAGTCCAGACAAACCTTAGGAGGTTGTAAGATAAATCATGAAAGAGGTTGAAAGATGCAGTTGGCTGCCCCACGACAGGACAGAGCTTCATATCCCAGGCAGCATTTTCCATTCTTTCTTACTACTTTGCTTTCTTGTGGGGCCGTGCAATGAAGCATGGAAGGCTAAAAGACACCCACACCATTCCCAATCTGTTTTACCTACAAGCATGGCTAATCACAGAGAAGACAGATATAGGTGAATGAAAAAGAAACAAATTCCATTTTTTTAAACCTCATACAAAGATTTGTTCATCAAAAGAATACTTAATGGATTTATTATCCAAATGTTCACAGGCTTGAATGTTGTTACCAGAATGGAAGCACATTTCAGAAAAGAAAGGAGGAAGTGGCACTGGACACATGCTCTGAGCCTACTGAAATAAAAGAAATAATCTCAAATGGAGCAATCTTCAAAGCAGTCACTGAATTTCAGAGTCACAAGCAGGTTGTGGCTATGGTAGGAAAACCTCTGTAGGAATATGTTCAGTGAAAAAAATCCGCATAACAAGATGACACGGGACAGACTGGAAACTGATGGGATTGTTTGAACTGGACCACGTTAACCAGGTTCCTGTCTATAGCAAAGGGCTGGGAGGGCCCTGGAGAACCTAGGTTTTGAACCTGCTTCTACCAACCTGTTTTTGGAAACTGCTGCATGTGATCTGTCACTGTAACTGTTGAGCCCAGCCTCTGTCCAAGTGTGCAGCTTAGGCAAAGTTTTATCATAAGCCACTGTTGTGAAAGAAATGAGCCACGTAAAGGGAGGTGGCTGCTTCTCAGAGAGCTGAGCCCTTCACATGTCAGCCACCCTCAGACAGCACATGGATACTGGCATATTTGACAAATAAAGACCAACTTCCAACTCCACACTCTCAGCAAAATTACCAGGTTCCTCAGTATCCTTACCCAGGTTAGGTCACTCCAAAGTTTAATTCTAAAATTGTGTGTTTAAGCTTTCCTCTCCCTCCGCCCTCCCCCAAGCTAAAAAGAGATGGGAACATTTTTATTCTTTGTAAGGGGATTACACACAATCTCACAGGAGGTGACCCTGCAGAAATGTCATGTAAGACTTTTCTCAAACTTCTTCCAGTCCTGGAAAGGACAAACTGCATGGGGGAAGAGGCCACCTGTTCCAAGGATCAGGTGCAGCTGGATAGCACAAACCTGGCTCCAGCAATGAATGGTATACTGCCATCTCTCTCACTAGCCCTAATTGTTTTAACTGACTACCAATTTAATTTGGTGATAACATTGTTTTGGCAACTTGATACTTTTTCCCTAATTAAAGGCTTGAATTTTTAGAAACCTTCCCTGCTTCAGTAATGCATCCAAGCCCCTCACAGTTAAAAATCTGAGCTAGCTATTGCTGTAACTAAAAAAAAAAAAAAAAAAAAAAAAGGAGATGATAATGTAGAGGTTAAGTTATATTTCTAAATTAATTTTAAAATATGATAAATTACTTAACTAAATGGAACAGGCAGGGGATAACTTGAAATTAGGAGGGCACAGTAGGGATTCCACTTAAAAAAACCCAAAAGTTCTTTTTCTGAAGTATCATACAGTTACCACTGTGAAGGAAACACCAAGAAAATTTTCTCCTGCTGAGATGGAAGCCAGCCAGTAGATAGCTTTAATCATTATGGAGAACTTACATGGAGAAGCTCAAAATACAGCTTTTTATAGCTCCTAATAAAACACTGGCCTTCTCTGACCCTTATGATTCAAGGACTTCATGTATTAAAAGAAGAACCCACCACACAATTTAGACATTATTTTCAACAGTTTCTTTTGCAGGGTTCTGTTGGCCATTCTACACCATTCACTATTTTCATTACCCTTACACTACAGGTCTTTGAGAAAGTGAGGGCTGTGAACCTACATCTTGCAAAGATTCCAGGTTAAATGACTTTCAGAAAAGTGAGAACTGCAGTTTTAATTATGTATAGGCTCCAATTAACTTTTTGAGGTGGGAGCCCAAGTCCCTTACAACTTGACCCATGAATAAGGATCCTGTTTGGTATGAATGGTCTCTGTTTTCATTCCCTCCCACCAGTGTGGAGCTGCAACACATCAGGCAGAGCTATTTATTTTTTAAGTGAAGCACAGTCTGCAGACTGTAAAAGGTGGAATGGCTAGCTGTCAAAAAGAAGTAGACAGTTAACAGGGAAAGTGGATACCAGCAAGCCTCAGAAATCAGTTTTAAGCATCAATTAAACCATTCTGAAATGCAGTAACTCTATAGAGCCCTCTGCTCCTTCAGAGGTGAATGCTGCCTATTCTACATGGGAACCCACCCTTCTTCTGATGGGGTTTAGAGATGCATTCCACTACAAGCAACATTTTATCTGCCTGTGTGGACAGTATTTTTTTCCAGCGTTTTTAGTGTCAAATAAAGGTTTCTGAGCATTGAAGTATTTCTTTCACTCCAAGTGTATTATACAGGAAAACACACAAGATTTTTAGAGCAGTACACTCAAAAGGCATTCAAAACAATATGCAGAAATAAGGCAATAAACAAGAGCTTTTTCACGAGATGTCAAGGCAAGGAAAAGACAGCTTGTTTATTTTGTGGAAAAGTGGGGGAAAAAAGTGACTGCTATCTTTTTAAAATTAGGACAGTTGAGGATTATCACAGTTCTGCTGACAGTGCAGACACAATAATTCATGGGATTATAAATTAAGCAAAGGAGTGTTTTTTTCATGCCTCTAGATGGCAGAAAGAGCCCCTTTACGCTCCATTTGCACATCTACCCCATTTTGAACATATCCTTCCTTGTGTGACAGAACACCTTTACCATTAATATACAGGATAAAAAGAAAAAATCTACTCAATGGGTGCCAGTGCTAAGTAGATTCAAATTGTTTTGAAAATTGTTCAGCGATATATAATTTTTAAAACCATCTGTTTACCCTGAATCCTTTCTGTAAAACTGGGAAGCCCTGTATGAAAAGAAATTAATTTTACTTCCCATTTATACAAAGAGCACAAGGTTTACAAGACTTCCAGCAGTCTGATGGGAAGCAAAGTGCAAATCATCATCATCATCATGATGCTAATAATTTTCTGCAAATTGTTCAGAAGAGATGCATTAGCAGATTCAGATAATTAAAAGGAATAGCAATTCTCTATCTGCAGCAAAGAGAACTCTATTTCTACTGGGCTGCAACTGTTTTTCACACTGTCTCTCCAGGAGCAGAAAAAGAACAGAGTAAAAAAGGTAGAGAACTTTGATTAGTTCCTTAAACACCATATAATTTGTGTCTCAGCATTTAAGTCTGAGCTGACCAGCATCTCACTGTTTTCTGTATTACATGTTATGTAATATAGACATTATGTTACTTCTCTGACTCGCTTCCAGCTCAAACTCATCATCAAAAATATAGTAAGCAAAAAATCTTAACAGCACTGCTCTTCTCCTTCCCTCAGGCCAAGGGCAGCACAGCACCTCTCGGCTTGCAGCATCCTTGAAACTAAACATGCTGCACTCTGCAGCTGCCACTCCATCACATTGCTTCCGCACCTTTCACCTCCTTTCTTCAGGCAAAGAAAGAAAATATATTCCCACCTCACTCTCACTTTGGTCCCTTTCTGTTGCCTCTCTAAGGCTCTCCCAACAAGTTACTTTTCCTGGACACAGAGCAGGCTTATTGTCTTCCCATTTCCTGCCATTTCCTCGCATTTTTCAGAAGCAATCACTTGCTTTTGTATCTTCCAAGAGGTAAAACAGATAAAAATCCAATGTGATGGATACATTTTCTTCCTCTTGCAGTTCCAGTTAATCTGTCCATCTATTACACAACAAAGTCTCCTGAGCAGCATCGGTCTTACCTGTACTCATAGATCATGAATGAACATAAACTTATAACTACTCCAGACATAGTGAAGAATTTAATCTCTGTTGTTAGTCAAGATCCATTCAGAAAATCAAGTAGTGTTATGCTTTAAGTACTTTAGGATACACCAAACCCACTGTCAGAGGTGTTGACTGTGCAGACTACATTCCTGCAACAAATATGCTATGCTAACCAGGTGGTTGTCTTTGGAAAAATGCAGAGATTAACTTGGAAAAACTCCTTTCTCAGTTGATTATTTCTGAGAGTGTAATGTCACAGACCTCTAAGGGGACTCAGCCAATTCCCAATGCAAAACAGACATCCTGGTCCCAAAATAATTAAACCGGCATTTCCTTGCCTGGTGTGTCATGATTTGTTATAGTCTAACATTTCAGGGTACAGACACTCAGGTGCATGCACCTGAATTTCATATAATAATGCCTGTAAGAAAGGTATCTTTGTGATCATAAGCTACACACATACCTCTGTCTTCCTTTACTCAGCCTGCACTGGACAAACTTGCCTTTCACAGCTTCATACAGACTTTGCTCTGCTGATTTTGGCATTTGATTTGCTTTCTGCTGCTCCTCTGTTTTGCAGCTTACCATCTCCCCTGGACAAGCTGCAGTATTATGAAACTGCTTGAAGGATGAACCAGGGGAAAATTACGAGACAGAGAACAGCACTAATACTTTGAGCCTGAGCATCTCTTCCCATTCCAAACTAAAAAAGGTCAAAGGACACTTCCGACTCCTTACTCAATGCCTGCTTCCCAGCAAGTGCTTAAGATGTCTCTCACTTCCATAGAGACAAACTTCCAAAATTAAAGCCTCTCCTTGATCAGTAATTCCTACATTGACAGAAAATGAAGCAAAATGCCAGCTTTGCAAGAAGAGAAACTTCAGTAGTGCCTTCAGTGAGGTTGGCTCAGAAAAGGTGCAGCAGCAGAAGGGAAGATTTCCTCTTCCCTTAACAACATCCTGGGGACTCAGCTGTCCTGCTGCCTGGGCTGCAAAATCCACAGCAGATGTGCACAAGATCTCCAGAGCTACCCTCACAGAAACAGTTCCTACAGCCCAGTAATCTCCCTTCAACTGCAGCTGGCACAAGAACACAAGGTTCAAAGAAGTGACTATTTTAGGCTCTCCTGCTAAACCTCACAAATGCCTTCTACCGCTCTTTCCTCCCAAAAAACTGACAGTCAACTGTAAGGGCCAAACAGTGATATTAGTCAGTCAAGTAAAGGAACAGATTTATCCTGGAGTGGGTAATTTTGGGTTTTGGCATTTTTCATCTTGTTTGCAGCCCTCAGAGGATAGGGTAGATGGGAAGAATTAGCTCTCTTTGCTAAGGCCAGTCAGCCTGCAGCTGAGGCGGCAGAGAGCAAACTTCTGTACCAGCTTCCACATTGCTAAGCACTGGAGAGAGGAACAAGCAAGGACAATAATCTTCTGCTGAAGCCTGGATTCCAGCATGCTCTCTCCCTCCAGCTCACCACGGGCTCTGGGCCCTTCAATCCGCAACAGCTATGAAGAAGACACTGAAAAAGGTTGGAGGCAAGGTTCTTGCAAGCAGAATTGAGCAAGAAAGCTTTCCTAATAGGCATTATCGAATTATTTCCTTGCATCAAACTCAAGGGATAATATTTTCCCCAGGAATCCTATTGGAAAGAAAACAAAACCCATACTCAGAGTGCTCACCTTTCTCATTCTCCGATACCATTTCAAATCATACCTTAATGGTCTTGCATCCTGGTTAGCTGACCTATGCTTGAACACCTCCATAATGAATTCATCCACGTACTGAATCGCCACTGTGTTTATCTTAGAGTATACATCCCACGTTTTTGGGGACAGGATGCTTTACACTTCTCTCCCATTCAGCAATTGGAACTGCTGAACACCCTAACCAGGAGGAAAATTGCAATAATAAGATACTTTCAAAATCAAGAGTTTACAATGATTTTCCCCTGTGTCCTTAACCCAGGAGGAAGCCTGCAGTCCCCAAAGCCCCACCAGCCACAGCACAACACTGTTTCCATCTCGGTCTGAATCTTCACTTGGTCATTGAAGCCAGGCTACAACACACACTCGTGCTGCTAAGAATTCAGGTTATAATGGTGAAATTCAGACAGAGCAGCAAACTCAGTGGTCAAGTTGACTTTCCTGTCCTCTTGCTTGCTATTTTAAATAATTAATGTCTGAGTCCTTTACAGTTACTGAATGTTATTTCCATTATTGCAGGTTTGGAGCACTACCCAAAGAAATTCAGGTTCTTTTTCTAATGAGCATTGGGTCTTCTCAACAAAGACCTGCACAATTGCTCATCAGGGTTAAACACAATCATGAATGTAATGTTCTTCCATGGCAATCAGATTACATTTCAGACTTCTTTTTGAAGTTATAAAGATAAAAATGATTTTTTTTTCCCCAAATGAAAACCAGTGCTCTCACATAATCTTACCACTGTTAAATGCTAAAGGCTCATCACAGACCAAAGCTGGAGTCGACAGCACTGCAAAATGGTACCATTAATCTAAGATGGTATAATGGATATAGCTCATTTTATGCCACAGTAAATGAACTTTGACAAGTATTATGAATTATGAAAAGCTCACCACTAGGATGGCACAGTATGGCAGTGCTAGTGGCTTTTTGTCTATAACATACAGATGTGTGTTTTATATAACAAAAAGCTCTGCTTTCGCAGCAAAAACATTTGCCCGTGAAACCCCAGTACCAAAAGTAGTTTTAAATCATCAGAGGATGGATATTATTGTCATTGGTACCAAACCAACTGTTTGCATGAGATGAGCTGACAAGTTCAACCTGCCATACAGCGTTTTACAACTGCTGTGTTCAACAAGCACATGCTTTGCAATGATTAACATTTCCCAGATTTTGCCAATTCAAGAAACCAAGTTCAAATAAAAAGTTCTTATTTTAAAAAGTTTTACCACAGCTCCAAACATTACTATACTGAGATTTGATTCTGAAAATGTAATTTTAAGAGACTGAAATTGCTTTACACATCATGCTTATTTTTTTCCCCTTTAGTTAATACATTACATGTGGGTCACCGTATTTTACAGAAAAAAAAGGCTGGCTTAAAAAAAAAAGTCTGCACTTCCTATTGATTGTAAACTCTGCAAAGAGTCTTTAAAGACCAGATAAGGACAAGAATAAAGAATAAAACTATTTCTAGATTCAGAAATAATTGTAGCACAGAATCTAGCTGTAACTTCGTTAGAATGTCCACGCTCCAAGTTTTAATGTCTGAAAATTTGAAAAGACTGACAATAATGAGAAGTTTAGACAAGCTGAAATGAAGACAGACAACAGCATTTTTAAATATAAAAATGGTCTTTATTTCTTCAATACAAGGTAAGCTACTATTGCAGTTTAAGACCAACACAAAAGTTGGACAGCAAATTGCTTAACAGTCTCCTAAAGGCTGAAAAAAAAGAAACCCATGAAAGCTAAAAGTTGTGCAATATTTCAAGTATAACATCTAAAAAAGATGAAATGATCCCTAAACTTACAGATTAAGTACCTCTGCTGAAAAAGTATTAAAATCCACATTTGCTAGCATACCATCTTACCTTGTGGAGAAATATAGGTCTCCAAAAACTCCAGTGTTCAACAGACTCTTTGGCCTGCCAGCATCAGGAAACTGTTTATTATATATATAAAATCCTTTGGAGTCAGGCATTCTGACAGGTATCCATTTCCTTACACTTTGCATTGCAATTCTGCATTCCAACTTAGACAACCCCACTCCTGTATTTCAAACCATCTCTTGAATAGTTTACTCATAGATCCTTGAGCAAAGCAGGAACCAGGAAATGGAATTGTACAGGAAGACAATACAGCCTTTTGTTTAGAAAGTCAGCAGCGCTGATAATAGTCATAAAACTGCTAAGGTTTACCAAATAGGAATGTATTTCACCTTTAAAACATTTGGCTTTTTCCCCCCCTTTCTTTATTATTTTAAAAAAGGACAACTGCAGTAGTAAGGAAGCTGAATTTGCAATCACTTGTATTTATAAAAGCACACACATTCCTCATTTTCTTACATTTGAAGATCAAGGAAATGTCTGTTTCATAATGTAAGAATAATATGCACAGTTTAAAATATTTTCTATTACAAAATACTGTGTACAAGAGGGTGAGGTTGAAGTCTATTAGTTGAATATACTCAAAAGTGTATACTGAAATCATGTAAAAATCACATTACACGGTATAAATAGATGGGAATTTTTACAATTTAAATGCTCCATTCCATTGGGATCAAAGGTATACTGTTTACTATTTTCAATAGACTTCAGTAAAACTAGTGTATTTCCAAAGAAGTTTTAAAAGATTTAAGCACAGGCATAGGTCATACCAGAACCTAGAACCCACTGCAATCACTGGGCTATAGGATGGGTTCAGGAACTAACAAGCTTATCATATACAAATAGAATGAGGAGCTTTATTGTACTTCGTCCAACATGGGGGAAGAAAATCTCCCAAGAACATCAAACTGATGAACTTATGCTCCAAACTTGTCCTCAGTAAATTTATCCTCTAAAATGAAAATTAATCTAAAAATACATGGGATATCAGACCTTAATGGGGGGTCAAGGGGTAGAGAGAAGGAAAGGGAAACAACTACAAAACCAAAAAACCACCTCAACACCCCCACCCACCCCAAGCCAGTCTGAAATATTAATTGCAAGGCATTATAATTGCAAGAGACAGTATTTCTGCATAAACATCATGATTCAATAGCATGCTGCAACCATTAAGTTCAAGACCTGTGCAGTCAATTACCAAAATAATTTAAATACTAGGCGAATCCACGTTGCTTCTTTCCTATGGCAAAATTGTTATTTTGGAAAGAATTGAAATTTCTTCAAGTATATGGACACTGACTCATACTTTCCTTCCCTAAAATCTTGAAGGGCTTATATTTCAATGCAGAAGTAATTTAGTGTCTTCAGTCTTTGAAGAGTACCAGTCTTAAACATGCATGTTTTATATTTGAATCTACATGACTGACAGTATCTTAACAAGTGTTGTATCAGGAAATTTAAGGCTGTATCTCAGTTTACGCAAGAACCAAAGACAACTTTAACAGGCTATGTATAAAATTCTATAAGTAAAAATAGGAGCAAAGTCTATTTAACCTGTACACAAGAGAGCAAGTGGATAAGAAATGAAAATCAGGAATTAAGTATTTCTATAAAGAATGTCATGTATTTTACTAGAAACACAGATGACAAGTATATACAACATTTAAATCTCCAATTATCCACATATAACTAGGAAAACATTTACAAGGGTTTGGGTATGCAACTAAACAATCAGGTAAAAAAATACAGTTAGAAAAACTAAGCCTCACCAATTTCAGAGGAACAAAACCAGAACATACTCAGTCCACAAAAAAAAAAAAGCTAATGTCTAAATTTAATAAAAATATCTTGTTTAACACAAAAACAACAGCTATCCAAGCTTATAAGCCACACTGTAAATAAAAATTTGAAGTTCTGACAAACATTTTTCAAAATGTAATCAGAACAAAAGTTATTGGCACAGAAAGTAAAAAGGGAATGAGGAAAAAAAGACTGTACAGTTTCCAAAATTCTATGTTCTTCTTCTGAAGTACTTTTGACCTGTCAAAACCTATAGTCCAATAAAAATTTTACTTTAAAAAAAATCACTCTCTACATCTAAAAAACAAATCACCAATAAAACAACAACTGTTGCTAAAGCACCACCACTCCTAAGTCACTACTTGTTGGTTTTGTCTTTCAAGATAAAGGACACAGCCTTAACATAATATTTTCAATGTTACTTATAAAATCAACGTTTGAAAGAAATAAAGTATTTCCTCACAGACTATTTCATCTTTTCATCAGCAAAAGGAGATGGATTAGAACTGAATGAATATCAAGAGCAGTAGCCATCATGGCATCATCACCAGTCAATTATTTTCTAAACTGCCATTTCCTGAGCAGGTACAGAAAATTGCCAGGAATATTTAATAAACCAAACCTTGGTAAAAATTCTACTACAGATCCTGTTATACATGATGTACATCACGCATATTCCTTTTTGGTGTCTATCAGGGTCTTTGGATTTTTTTCTGTACATTTCTTTTTTGTTTTATATAAAAAAAAATCTAACAAAGGACACTCACTCAAGAGAATATTATCTAAATTGCAACACAGTACATTTATCAGTTAAAATTAAGTATCTGGAGAACAGGCAGAAATAATGGGCTTCATACAGGGATCTCATCTCTCAAGTCACAATGATTATTCAGTTTAACTTATGTTATTTACCACCCCCTGCTATTCCCTCCCTGCTATTTCCATTGCCAGCAATGGAAATCCGTATGTGAGTGAGAAATTACACTCTATGTAAAAAGAGCAACAGTCTCCTTAAAACTATTTCAATGTGGAGTAAAATATCAATTCCTGCATAAAATGCTTGTAAAGTTACTTTTTTTTATTTTAAAATTTAATATATCTACTCAATGGAACATTACTTACCTGCTGCCTTTCCAGTATTAGCTATTCCCCATGTAACAGCTACAGGCAGGTTATTTCTTCCTTAAACTTATTACACACAGTAGTAAACAATGTTTTTAAGTAAAGAAAAAAAAAGTTACAACAGTAGTGTTTGTAACCAACACCTACTAACAAAAAAAGCAGGAAGTGATTCATTACTTGTTTGACACAGCTTTCAGTTTTACAAAATTTTTAAAGGCAGTTTTCATTTTCAAACAGGATTAAACA